GGGCATTTTGGACATTATCTTAAAGAATTTCCAATGTTCAGACTATTTTAATAATAATATATAAGCCTTTTTTGCCAATTTTACTTTCATTCTTTTTCCAGTGTTTAATGGAGGTTTCCAGATGATCTGTGATTTGTGACATCAAAAAGATGAAATGCAAAAACAGATGATACCTGTTTTCTATTAAGCCATACATTAAAAAAACATACAAAACTATAAAACATTGAGATTCTTCTGATTAATTTTTTAAATTTAATTTTTATGAAACTTTGAACTCAGTTTTGAATCCTGATTATTTTTGTTTTGAAAAATAGTTATTTTCATTAAAATGTAGTGTATTAGTATGTAATATGTTTGTTTTTATTTTTAAGAACTATTTTGAACATTTTTCAGTTTGAGTTTCTTTTTTTTGCAGGGTGGGGGGGCGGTATTGCATTGAACCTAGGGGTACTTAACTACTGAGCCATCTCCCTTCCCCTTTTTATTTTATAATTTGAGACAGGGTCTCACTAAGTAAGTAGCGTAGGTCCTCAATAAGTTGCTGAGGCTGGCTTTGAACTTGTGATGCTCCTGCCTCAGCCTCCCGAGTTGCTAGGGCTACAATTCCGTTTGAATTTAATTATTGATATAAAAGTTCCTTGGGATCCATAATGATTTTTAATTTTTAGGGACTGTGGTATAATATTTGTTGGTACCTGTCACAGAGCTAAAGTCTTTAGAATTTCTTGAGTGATAAGGAGTGTCTTTTGAGCCCCTTCAGTCTATTTTACTGGGGTGACTTAGAATGCACCTGGCACCAGAAAGACCAAGTGATTAGAGGATTAGAAGTTTTGAGTCTCACTGACCTCTGGGAGGGTAGGTGGGCTAGAGATTAAATCCGTTAAGGTCTGTAAAAATTCTTGAATAATGTTTGATGAGCCTTTGGTTTCCGAATACTTGGAGGAGCCAGGTCCAGAGACTGGATTCGTATACCTTGTCCTTTGCATTTCTTCATCTTACTGTTCATGTTCATCTATATCCTTTATAAAGCCCTTTATAATAAACCAAGAAATGTTAAGCAGCTTGTTTACCTGAGTTTGGTGAGCTGTTGGAGCAGATTGTTAAATCCAGCCAGATGGTTGTGGGAACCCCTGATTTATAGTGGTTGGAAGGAAGTTGAACAGAAGCCTTGTGATTCTGTGCCAAAAGTTTCGAACTCTTTCTGTAGTTACTGTTTATTAGTGACATCATATTTTCGAGAAGTTATTATAGTTATCAAGCAGTAAAATCTGTATTTTGGTGACAGTTCAATTGTTTATTATGATAGTGAAAGGTTTTGATTTCTATAGGGAGGTCTTAGAGATTTTGAGAAATCTTCCATTTAGGAAGGATAAAAGATTTTACTTACCCTTCTTAGGTCTTCAAATTTTAGTTTTATTTGAGTTCTTGTGTAATTAATTTATTTGGATATTTTAGATTGACATTTATATTTTATCCTGGATTATTGAGAATATTTCTTAGAATTTAAATCTTTGGCCTGGGGATATACCTCAGTTGGTAGAGTACTTGCCTCACCATGCATGAGGCCCTGGGTTCTATCCCCAGCACCACACACACATACACACACACACACACACACACACAAAAGGAAATCCTTTGTTGCTTTTAGACTTTGAAACAGTTTTCTTTCTTTCATATTTTAAACAGTAGTATTGTGTTCATTAGAGATTACGTAATGGTCTGCTTTTTCAAATAGTCTATACTGAATAATAAACAATAGTAGAAAAAAGTCCCCTTTAGGGCAGTTTCAGCCAACAAGACATCTGTTTACTATCTTGCAGGTTGGGATTCTTGGCCCAATTTGAGCATGCAAACCTCACAAATCTTTTAGATAGTTCTAGAGACAACTGACTATTCAGAAATCCATACTTACTATGCAGGGCAAATCAAATAGTTTTAAGCATTCGGATCCAGAATGTGACAAAGTTTCAGAAAATGTAGGATTTAGTACTTAAGGTTTCTACTGGCCAGTTTACTTCTGTCTCTTGAAGCATAATTTATTGAAGAATCCTCATTTACCCATTGATTTATAGGGTAAAGAAACCTCATCAGTGCTAGTTCATGAGTCTTAACTGTTGGATCAGGCCATAAAACCTAAGACTTTCTGTGGTACAAGAAGACTTGGTATGCTTCTAATATGGATTGCTGGTTATTACCTTCCTTCTCATTTCTGTACTGTAGAGAATGTTCCAGTTATGGCTGAATTTCCTTATTATGGTTGATATTTATTGCTTTTAAAAATGTTCACTCTTGTTCTGTATTTCTCAATGTTCTCACTTTTATCAATGAAGACTCTTAAAACAGAGGAACGAAAACTTGTAGTTTAATCAGTAGTGTGCCTTGAGATCCCCTGAGGTGTTACAATAAAACATAATAAAAACAAAGGAAGGCTGCGCCGTACTAGTTCATTAAAGTTAGAATGATGTAGGAAGTTAGAATTGGAGAATCTAAAAACAAAACATAAATAAATAAAATCCCCAAAACACTATATAAGAACCCAACTCAGATAATTAACCCTGAGTTCCAGGAGTGGGTTAATTATAAAGGTCCCCAGATGTCTCTAATATGTATACAGAATGAGGCTCTCTTTTTTATTTATCTAAAAAAGCTTTTCAGGTTATTTTGTTAAGTGGAGAATCAAGTGATGGCGAGCTCCTGAGTGTGTAGGATCATTTGTGACACTAAACAAAATATATCATGGGAGTATGTTTTTGTTTTGGAGAACTATTACTCTTTCCCTGTATCCACTTTTAAAAGTAAGAGCAGGGAGCATGACATCAATAAATAAGATGAATTTTAAAAATGCACCAACACTGTTTATGGACAGAGGCATATGGTTCGTTGGAGGGAGAGGAAATGAGACGGGTGAGCCTGAGAACAGGATTTTTGTAGGAGAACATTGCTATCTTGTGACTTGTGAGGATAGCATTTGTTGCTAAAGATTAAAGACTGCATTTTATTTTGGAAATACTGGCAGTTTGCTTTTGATGCTGTTTTACTTTCAGTGACCAGGGCACAGCAGTATGACCATGAGCACAATTCCCTCTTGGCCACTAGTCCTACACTGAGCTTTTCCTATTCCATGCATGAATCCCTTCTGCAGCCCTGGTTACAAGGACTTTACAGAGCTGTTGACACTGCATCTTATGTGTTTCAACTTTGTTATAAACATGTTTGAAGCAGTTGAAGTTAATAGCAATTGTGAAGGTAACTAAAAATTCCTGGGAGTCAGAAGTTAAATCTCACTTCTTGGGTTTAATAATTGTGTGTCAAATTATACAAAATGGGAAAATAACTGACTTCATAGGATGGTTGTGAGGATTAAATGAGTCATTCATTGCATGTAAGACACTTAGTGGAGTGCTTGACATATCATAAATGATCAATAAATTTTTTTCATTTATTCCTTGAGTAAAATATATTTTGAATATCTTTCCTGTGTCAGTACCTGTTTTAGGTTTGAAGATATGATGTTAAGTAAAACATCCTTCATTTTTATGAAAACGTTTTTAAAAGTGGAGACAATGAGCAGAACATGGATTCTGTTTCACTTATAGATACCACTAATGTATGTTATTTAAAAATATACACATTTGCCAGACATGGTGGTGCTTATCTGTAATCCCAGTGACTTAGAAGGCTGAGACAGGAGCATCACAAGTTTGAGGCCAGGCTTAGCAAAGCAACTTAGTGAGATCCTATCTCAAAATAAAAGGTAAAAAGGCTCGAAGATGTGATTTTGAGGTTAAATCCCAGCACTAAAAACAAACAGTCAAAAACAAATTCCTGGCTATCTGTAGACTAACAAAAATATACATATATATGTTAATTAATTACTTCTAAGTAGGAATTTCTTTTGTACTTCACATCTAAATGACACTAGTCCCAACATTTTTACTACCTTATTTTTTGAATTAAAGATTCCAGAGCTTAATATGTATATAAGAAAATAGGAAGACTATAAAATGTCAACATGAATGAGCAACCTTAGTTTTGATAAACATGTTTTTTTTCCCTGATTGTTTTATTTCATCAGATTATAAAATGGCAAGATCATGAATATTAGAGTTGCATCAGTTCTTTTTGGTAATTGCCTCTTTCCTGAAGACTTTATTTTGGACAGTCTTGAATGCTGAGAAAATTTATTCTTAAATTTGAAATATTTTTTTCTTGAAACTAACACAGTGGTCTTTAGGTTTGTTTTTCAAAGGGAGAATAAACCTAGTACCTTGATAACCCACCGCTGTTTGGAAGATGGTTTGTGAGTGTCTTTTGCTTAGAGAGATTTGAACTTCGTCCTCATCACAGGGCTTTAAGCTTTCTCTTTTACCATTATCCCTTTCTGGGTTCTCTTACTCACATTGTTATATTTAGATAATCAAACCTGTGCTTTTTTCCCTTCTCAGCTGGGCACTGTTATTGGTAATTTTTTTCTTTGGTCATTGTAAAGAACTGATAACAGTTTACTGATGTTGGAAAGAGTGAAATAATGATGTCTTTTTATGAATTGCAATAACTTGTTTTAATATATATTAATTTTCAACTTTATATTCTTTATAAAAGAAAATAAGGTTATTTTGATCTGGCTTCTTTGTGAAACCATGCTGGATTCTAGTCATTACTAGTACCTTCTGTATATGTAGAAACCAGCTCTTTAGGAATCAGTTCTAGAATTTGTCTGAAGATCTACATTAAGCCCATGTGTTCTATCATCTCTGTTTACTTTGATTTTAACAGGCTTAGTGACCTCATTGATATAATTAAGTATCTAGGAACTTTATATGAGCTTTATTACTTATGTAAGGTTAAAGAAATGCTAAGACATTTGTTTAGTCCTGTTGTGTATGTAGTTTTGTGGCTTTGCAAACACAGTAGAATAATTTTAGATTTTTTTTAAGAGGGAAAAAAAAGAAATGTAAACTAGGGATGGTTTTTAAATTCCCTTCTGTATTTTCTTTTAGGTAGTATTAAAGATAATAAAACATTATCAAGAAGAAGGACAAGGAACTGAGGTTGTTCAAGGAGTGCTTTTGGGCCTAGTTGTAGAAGATCGGCTTGAAATTACCAACTGCTTTCCTTTCCCCCAGCACACAGAGGATGATGCTGAGTTTGATGAAGGTAAAGATGTTCATTTCAAGTTTGTGTCTTTGCAGTTTGTACAAATGCTTGTTAATACAATTCTCAGTGTAAACTTTGATTAACCATTGTTGAGAAAGTCAAGTGAACCTAAATCACTTGATTTGAATTTCTTGGAAAAATTATACAAATTCTGGGAAATGAAATTTAAATAAAAATATTGATTACTTTTGCCTTTCTTAATTGGAGTTTGTAATTCTCATTTGTAATATAGTAATCTCCATCTCATTTTTAAAGGATGTATATTCCAAGACTCCCAGTGGATGTCTGAAATTGCAGATAGTATACATACATACATGCAAATGACAAAGTTTAATTTATAAATTAGTCACGTAAGAGATTAACAATAATAACTAAAAATAAAATAGACAAATCTAGTATTAGGAAGTTTTTCCCATATTTTCTTCTATGAATTTAATTTTCAAATCTTTAAGTTTAGGTCTTTCCATTTTGAATAATTTTTTCCATTTTTTAATTGGTGTGTTATAGTTGAACATAATGATGGGTTTTGCTATTGAAAAATTTGTGTGTAGTGCAAGGGAATGTCCAACTTCATTTTTTTGCATATGTATTCCAGTTTTTATAGCACCATTTGTTGAAGAGACTGTCCTTTTCAGTTTAGAGGCCTTGGTACCCTGGGTGAAGATCAACCCTATGCCAGGGGTTATTTTTGGAATGTCTGTTGGCGTTGCATTGGTTAATAGTCTGTCTTTATTCCAGCATGACACTTTGGATTTCTGCAACTTAGTAATGAAACTTTATTTTTAGTTGTAGTTGGACACAATACCTTTATTTATTTGTTTTTATCTGGTGCTGAGGAACCTAGCACCTCGTATGTGCTAGGCGAGTGCACTACCGCGGAGCCACAATCCCAGCCCCTGACACTTTTTTTTTAAATATGTTTTTTTAGTTGTAGATGAACACACTAATTTTATTTATTTATTTTATGTGGTGCCGAGGATCAAACCGTAGTACCTCACATGTGCGAGGCAAGCACTCTACCATGGAGCCATAACTTCAGCCCTCTAATGAAACTTTTTTGAAATCAGAAAGTATGAGGGCTTTAGTTTTGTTCTTATTGGAAATTGTTTGGGCTGTTCAAGGTTCTTTGAGATGCCATATGAATTTTAGGATGTCTTTTTTTATTCCTATGAAAAATATCATTGGGATTGCATTGGATATGTAGGTTGCTTTGACTAGTATTGGCAAGTCTTTGCTGTTTTGGTTAAGTGTATTTGTAAATATTGTGTTTATGATGCTACTATAAATTGGCTTGTTTTCTTAATTTCCTCTTCATTTTTTTTTATAATTGATAAAATGTTATTTATTTCATTTGACTTAACATCTTCATTATGCCTCAAGTATATTTTTGCTAAGGTTATAGTACCCTTGATATTGTAATTTGTGTGCAAATCAGTTTTCATTTGAATAATACCTCTAAAAACTAAGATTATTTTTGTTTTTGAGTACTTGATTTTTAATATGGTTGTGTAGAATACATCTTTTATGTTTTTTTCCCCCGAAATGGCCATACTTAGATCTGAATTACTGTATGTTTATACCTCCTGTGCAATTAAGGTTGAGATTCCTGTGCAGTCCATTCTGGTGGTATTAGGATATCTCTTATTTTCCTACCCAACAACATATATCTGGGGATGCTTATTTATAATTCAATAATCATTAACTTAGGACTGGAAGACTAGCAATTATTGATGCAATTTCTTTGGTTTACAGGAAAGAAACATAAGAGCTTTACTTGAAGTGACTTGTTTTGTTACTTGATGGGAGTGGATGCCATACCAAAATAGCTTACACAGTTTTCTGTTTAAAAAAAAACAAAAAAAAACTGTTACACAGTTTTTTTCAGGTATTTATTATTATTGGTATAAAATTCTTGGTTTAGAATATGAAGGAGAAATAATGTTTAGTGCAGTTATGGCAAATAAACAACAATATGTTGACTATTTTAGATAGTGATCATTGGAAGTTAATCTTTCATAAGTTTGAGATAATTGATTAACATATACTTTAAGAAGCTCATTAAAGCCATGTATTTTATATCCTGAAAAAGGCCTACCATTTTGCCCTTTGCTTTTCCATTATTTTATACCCTTTAAATCAGTATTTATTTAGGGGAATGTTTTAGAATTTTAGTAATTATATAGTTGCTTATGTATGGTGGCATACACCTGTAATTCCAGTGACTCATCTGAGGCAGGAGAATCACAAGTTAAAAGCTAGCTTGAGCAATTTAACAAGGCCCTAAGTAACTTAGCGAGACCTTATCTCAAAATAAAAAAAATAAAAAGGGTTGGAGATGTGGCCAGTGGTTAAGTGCTCCTGGGTTCAATCCCCTAGTAACAAAAAACAAAACAACTCACCTCATTAAAATTTTTTTCAATAGCCCTGAGATAAGGAGAGAGCATTAGATAATAACTATGCAGTGTGTATTGTGTACAATCGGTATATTTCCTATAATAAGATGTTACTCTGCACAGTTTTTTTCAAACCCATTTTCTGTATTAGGAAACCAATATTTAGTGATATAAATAACTTGTCCAAAATCATTGTAAAAATCAGTAGAGTATGGATTGAAACCCTGTGACTGCCTGGTCTAAATCCTATGATTTTTCCACTATAGTATGTTGCTCTTAGACTTAGAGAAATATTGAATGTAGGGCAGCATGAGTCTGTATCTGAAATCCACTTTTTGTGCAAAACAAGTAAATTTGCTTTTCATGATTTTACCTTTAGGAACTGGGATTTTCCATCTGTCCTGTACATGTGGAAAATGTAGTATAGTTCCCTGTATTTCTTCATAGCCTTTGGCAAAAGACTTAGATTTTAGGTTCTCTCACCTAAGCCATTTATTCTCTTAATGTGCATTAGAATGCAATGACTGGATTTTTAAAAAATCAAATCTAGATGAAACAAACATTTTATTATAAAAATGTATTTTAGAATAGGCCTACAGTTTGATTATTTTATATCCTGAAAAAGGCCTACCATTTTGCCCTTTGCTTTTCCATTATTTTATACCCTTTAAATCAGTATTTATTTAGGGGAATGTTTTAGAATTTTAGTAATTATATAGTTGCTTAGTCTCCCCCCCACACCACGGGGGTATGAGGTTTTATTTTTTTCCCCATTTTGTTTTGGTGCTTTATTGTAAAGAGGAGATTTTAAATCTGTGATGCAAATGAAATGTTAGCAAATATTTTAAATTGGGTCGACAAACTGATCTGTGGGCCTGCTTTTGTAAATAAAGTTTTATTGGAACAGTGCACATTATTTTATTTTCTGTGCCTGTATTTCTCCTGCAGTGGCATGTGGAACAGTTGAGTAGTTCTAACAGTGATCCTTTGGATCCCAAGCCAAATCACAAGCTTTGTGATTCTTGAAGTTTGACCACCTATGATTAATACATATCTTTATATTCTCCCTCTCTTGTCTGTTAAAGGATTATAAATAGACGCTTTTTTGTGTATTTTTATTTCTTCTATATATTGCTTTTTGAATATATATATACTGAATCTAGACTATATTGTGAACACTGAAAGGAAAATACTGTGTTATTGGGTGTTTGCTTCACTGGCAAACATGGGAAGTATCAGAATAGTTGGTTTTTGCTTTAATTTTAGTATATTTTTCTTATAAAGCTACATTATTGAATTTTAATATTTAGGGGAACCATCTATAGATAATAGGGAAGAAGGCATTAAATTCATAGTTGGAAAATTGTGACTAGGTGTTATGGAAAGGTACTGGTATGAGCACAATATTTGAGTGAGGATCTCATCACTTCCTTCAGTCAGGAATCGTGGTACTGAATAACTTCTGAACTGCTGTGGTCTAACTCTGTAATTCATTTAGCACATTGCTCACTTACAGAGTACCAAAAACAGTGAGAAAGATAATTCCCTTATAGGGTTACCTGTATAGTGCTGACTGGATTATGTTGTATAAATTGATTCAAAACCTAGAAAAATGTTGGGGTATGAAGTTTCTTGTTTTTCTCTTTATTAATTCACAACTTGTGGTTTGTAAAATGTAGTAATTCTGAAATTTGGTTTAAATCCTGGTAAACTTTTATGCTACATAATTTCCTTTCTAGTTGAAATTGAGATAATTTACTCATGTTAGAGAATACATGCTTTTAAAAAATGAGCAGAAAAACTCATATTAAAATTCCCATTAGAGGGCACTATTATCAAGCTTAGGAGAACTGGATACTAATTTGTTTTCTCAGACATGCAATCCGAAGCTTGCTAAAAGGGAAAAATATTTTCATCTGATAAGATTCAGATACTGTTTTATACAACTGAATTCTTTAAATATGTTATAAAGTGCACTGAATTAAACACAGATTCAATAACTCACTGTCTTGTTTGTTAGCAGATTGAATCAATTTAATATGGCAGGTGATATAAGAAGCTTTTTTTTTTTTTTTCTCCATAAGAGCCAAATCTTATGCAATATATTTGGAGTGAACACTTTTCTCTTTTTAATTTTGGATGCTTTAAGTTAGTCCTAAAGGATGATCCTTGGCCCTCAAAGTAGACCTTCAAGAAGAAGCATGAATGCTATTATGCTACTGAAATGCAGCTGGGGGAATGAAATGATGCCTAACTTAGTATTGATGTTTGCAGCATGTTTAATTGATAACACATTGAAGTGATACATACACACAGTTTTTATTTTTTGGGGTAAATTTTCAGTAGGAGAAATTGTTTTATTTTTTATTAAGTTTGGTGTTAGAGTAAGAAATACTAGTGTAAACTGTTCTGCACATTATGTTGTTATCATTAAGCTTTCAAAAGGAAAGCAGCACTATAGAATCTTAAAACGGGTCTAAAATATGCTTTGGCAAATATGAATTGAAATAAGATGTATTCAGAGTTGTTTTCCATACATAAATATTATTTTTTAGTTGTAGTTGGACACAATGCCTTTATTTTATTTATTTATTTTTATGTGGTGCT